ACATACGAAAAATGAAAAATAAAACAATAATTCAACTTTTGATTTTTTTTTTTTGCGTTTCGGAAATTATTTTAAACGCGCGGCGATAATGGTTGGAGGTTTGTGAGTCGATGGGAGGATAGGTGGAGGACGTGCTCATAACCGACATAAGAAAAAACGAAAAACAAAAGAAAAAAATAATAATAATTTCAATTTTAATTTCTTTTTTTGCTTTTGGAAATGATTTTGGACGCACGGCGATGAAGATGGGGGGTTTATGAGTAGATGAGAGGATAGATGACGTGCCTAATAACCGACATGAAAAGAAAAACAATGGAAAAAAAAATCAATTTCCTCTTTGGGTTTTGGAAATTGTTTTGGAAGAGTGGGGATAAGAATGGGGAGTTTGAAAGTGGATAGATGGGTGACAGGCCTAATGACCAAAGAAGAAGAAACCAGAGCAAAACTATTTTGTTGCGCTACGTTTTATTTTTGATGGCCCTGAGAAAGGCCGATTGTGAATGCAGCTCATGCTGGCAGGTGCTGGAAATGGCCTCCTCCAGCAGCCACGCAGGCATGAATCCTTCGAAGTACATCCATCCTCACTCGTTGGAGCATCTTAGCACTGACATTGGTAGTGGCCACATGCAGTCGAGCCACCAATTCCTCCACGGTCTCCGGCTCGGTCTCGTAGACTTGGTCCTTTAGATAGCCCCAAAGGAAGAAGTCTAGCGGCGTCAAGTCCGGGGATCTAATGACAATGGAAATTCATTATTTTCCGGAACACTTTATTTTTCTCGAGTAATCTTACCGTGCAGGCCAGTGAAGTGGGCCATAACGACCGAACCAACGTCCAGGGAACTGAGCATTTAAAAAGGCGGTGACGTCTCGAGCACAGTGAGGGGGTGCTCCATCCTGCTGGAACCACCGAGGTCTACCTGCAAGTGGTACATCGTGCAGCATTTCAGGAAGAGTCTGCGTGATTAATGCGAGGTACTGTTGACCCTGAAGAAAAACAAAAATGGAAAAAAATCATTATTTTGCCGCCTCGATGTCGTATGTGTGCGAATGCGGGCCTGATGAACACTCACATTCACATAATCCGGTAGCTGGGAAAGTAGGACTCGGTCACTCACTATTCCTTCCCACACGTTCACTTTCCACCGTGACTGAAAATTTTTTTCCCTCACCGAGTGAGGATTTTCAACAGCATAATTATGTAAATTATGCTGATTGAAAATGCCTTCTCTGGTAAACAGATTTTCGTCTGTCATCAGGATTTGGGACAAACAGTTTTCATTCCGGTAATACAAGGCTAGAAACTCTTGACAGTAGTGCAGGCGCTGCCCTGCATCTCCTGGCTCGAGTTTCTGAACTCGTGTGGAGTGGAACG